TTTTTTGCTTTTGTAATTTTCCCCTTTGAAGATCTTAAGGGGCATCCATTTAGTATACATGACATTACTTGTATCCCTGTGGTTTAACTCTTTACTTTAACTCTGGTCTTTTTGTTTGTTTGTTTTTTCATTTATTCAGCAGATACTTATTGTCTGCCACTTGTGTTGTTAACAAGGTGGATATGATCCTTGCTCTTATGGAGTAGGTAATGACCCAGTAAGGCAGTGAGACGTTGAACTGCTAGTTATAAGTGTGTTTGTTCAGTTTAAGTAAGGGTAGATGTAGGGTGGGGAAGCCTAACCTTAGGGAAAGAGTTCCTTGGGAATAACCCTTAGACTGCGACTAGGAGGGTAAATTAGGAAGTAACCTAGGCATACGTTAGGATGATCAACTTTTGTATACATATAGATAGCTAATACTGTAACATAATGAATAATGAAGAAACATTTAACCCTTTTCTCTAAGTATAAAAGTAACGAATATTTGCTTACAATAGAAAGTTTGAATTAATAGAGAAAGTTTGGAAAACGCAGACAGCTACATTAAAAGCAAAAATTACCTGTAATCTCATTCTAGAGATAATTCTTTTCTTTAAAAATTTTTGTTTTTTTATGAAATATTTTGGATATACAGAGACACACCTTAGTTTTGGTATATCCTTTCATTTTTTTTTTTTTACATACGTACATATGCACACGTATTTAGAATTATTTATTTTTTGTAAAGACCTTTTATTTCCTAAACTTTATTTTGTTGCTGTTGTTGAAAATATATGCAGCAAAACACATACCAATTCAACAGTTTTTACATCTACACTTTAGTGACATTGATTATATTCTTTGAGTTGTGCAACCATTCTCATCTTTTCTGAGTTGTTCCTTCCTCATTAAGATAAACTCACTGCCCCCTAAGGTTCCTATCTAATCTTTTGAGTTGCTGTTGTCAATTTGATCCCATATAGATAGTTCTTAAAAGAGCTTAATGCTCAAGGCAGATCTTTTTTACTAGTTAAGCAAAACTGTTGCTCAGTTTTAAGATGACTTCGGGATATTTTTGGTTTAGGATTTAAAGATTATCTCAGGGCAGTCGTTTGAGGGGGTTCATCTAGCCTCCATGGCTCCAAAAAGTCTAGAGTCTATGAGAATATGAAATTCTGTTCTGCATTTCCCCCCTTTTCATCAGGATTCTTCTATGGAATCTTTGATAAAAATGTTCAGTAATAGTAACCAAACACTATCCAGTTTTTCTGGTCTCATGGCAAAGGAGGTAGTTGTTCATAGAGGCAATTAGCCACATATTCCCTATCCTCCTCCTATTCCTGACTCTCCTTCTTTCTGTGTTGCTCCAGGTAAATAGAGACCAATTGTTCAGCACGTGCCAGCTGAGTTTGCCCCCTTTAAAGAGCTTTCCCATAAGCCCCCTTGGGAGAACTCTGTTCTTATTTCTTTAGCGAAGACTGTGTCACGTAATCACTTCTTGCTTTAAAGGATGCTAGGAAATGTTTTTTAGCTCAGCACATTGCTTCCCAATTAAAACCAGAATTTCATTTGTAAGGAAGAAGGAAAGAAAGGAAATTGGATAGGCAACTAGTAATCACTGCCATGTGGGGGAGGAGGTAGCAAGAATGAACTGAGGAAGATTACTTGAGAAGCCACTCTTGGTAGCCTAGCCAAGAGATGATTGTAGTTTGGGGCTAAGGTTGAATAGGGAGTTGAAGAGAAATAGAAGGATTTGGGACATATTTTGAAAATAGAGTCAACAGAACTTGCTGATAGATTAGATGTGGGTGGAGAGGAAAAGTTAAAGAAGCTAATAAAACCAAAGGCTCATGGGATCCGTTAGTCCACAGGACTAATGCACCACATGAACTGCAGCTTACATGACCTGGAGACCAGAAGAACTACATGGTGCCCAGCTACCACTACCAACCACTCTGACTGTGATCACAACAGAGGCTCCTGGGCAGAGTGGGAGAAAAATTATAGAGCAATATCCATTTTTGGTAGGAATGCAAAATGGTACAGCCGTTCTGGAAAACAGTGTTGCAGTTCCTAAAAAAGAGTAAAAATAAAACTGACATATGACCCAGCAATTACACTCTTAGGTATATACCTAAAAAACTTGGAAGTGGAGACTCAAAAAGAGATTTGTACACCAGTGTCCATTGTAGCACTATTCACCATAACCAAAATGTGGAAACAGCCTAAGTGCTCATCAGCAGATGAATGTGTAAGCAAAATGGGATACATATGGTGGAATACTACTCAGCTGGTTGGAAAAATGAAGTCTTGATACATGCTACAGTATGGATGGAGCTTGAAAACATTATGCTGAGCAAAATAAGCCAGTCACAAAAGGACAAATATTGTATGACCTCACTTATATAAAAGACAAGAACAGCAGTTGTATAGAGACCAAAGTTTATTAGTGGTTACCAGGGGTGGGAGGGAGGGGGAAAAAGCAGATTAAGAGTGATGGAAAAATCACATTGATTAAAGTGTGGGGTTGCACAGCTGTTTATTGTAATTGGCTATCAGTAAGTTGTACACCTGTAAAAAGTTGAATTGGCAAAAGTTGTGTGATATATTTACAACAACAAAAACAAAAAGTAGCTGCTGAGGCTGCTTATGTACAACCAAACACCTCATGGAATTTGGTCCTTTAGTTTGGAGGTTTGGGGTTATGGTTTCAGGGGACATCCTAGTTACTTGGCTTAATAACATGTTTAGTGCTTCTGTTCCACCTCCTAGTTTGTTGTGTAGTGCCTGGGGTCTTAAAAGCTTTCAAGTGGTCATCCAAGGCTCAACAATTGGTCTGTCTTCACCTGGAGCAGCAGAGAAAGGAGGAGAGTCAGGAATAGGAGGATATGGAATATATGGCTAGTTGCCTCTATAAACAACTACCTCCTTTGCCATGAGACCAGAACTGGATAGTGCTTGGCTTGCCATTATTGAACATTTTGATCAAAGATTCCATAGAAGAATCCTGATGAAAGGGGGGAAATGTAGAACAGAATTTCATATTCTCATAGGCTCTAGACTTTCTGGAGCCATGGAGGCTAGATGAACCCCTTGAAACTATTGCCCTGAGATAATCTTCAAACCCTAAACCAAAAATATCCCCTGAAGTCATCCTAAAACTGAGTGGTAGTTTCGCTTAACTAATAAAAAAGATCTGCCTTGAGGGCATTACGCTCTTTTGAGAACTATATGGATCAAATTGACAATAGCAACTCAAAAGATTAGACAGGAACCTTAGGGGGCAGTGAGTTTATGTTAAGGAGGGAGGAACAACTCAGTAAACGAGGATGAGAATGGTTGTACAACTCAAGAATGTAATAATCAGTGTCATTAAATTGTGTAGGAAGAAACTGCCGAATTGGTATGTGTTTTGCTGTGTATGTTCTCAACAACAGCAGCAACAAAATAAACAGAATTAAAAAAAAAATTGTAGAACCAAAAGTCAAATTCACAAAAAATACCAAACTTACTAGTCTGATAGAGACTGGAGGAATCTTGGAGACTATGGCCCTAAGACAGCCTTCTGAACTGGAACTGAAGCCATTCCTGGAGACCACCTTTCAGCCAAACTATAGACACCCATAAAATAAACAGTAACACCCGAGAGGAATGAGCTCCGTAGAACAAACAGTTATATGAGATTAAAAGGGCAACATTTGCCCAAAAACAAAGATTAGAAGGCAGGAAGGGGTAGAAAATCAGGACGAAAGGAAACGAGGAAACTAGGATAGTAAAGGGGAGAGTACTGATACATTGTGGGGAATGAAACCAATGTCATGGAACACTTTATGTACAAACTATTGAATGGGAAGCTAATTTGCTCTGTAAACTTTCACTTAATGTACAATAAAAAAAAAAAAAAGAAAAACACCTAAATTTTTGTCTTTAGCAGCTAGCTAGATAATGGTGCTAATTTCTTAGATGGAAAGAGTCAGGGAGGAGCAAATTGTAGATACGGAGGAAGATCAGGAATTTTGCTTTTCCTTGTTAGGTTTTAAGGTAGGGAAATAGCAAGTGAGCAGTTGAATATATGAGTCTGGAGGTCAGGTCTAGAGAGAGATTTGGGCATCACAGAGATAGAGATGATATATTTAAAGCCCTAGACTGGGTGACTTAACTCTGGGAGAATTTGGTTAGAAAAGGAGGGGATCAAGAACAGAGGCCTGGTTTTTGTCTTGGGCCCCAGGACGATTTAAAGCTGAACCAAGGAGAAATAATAAAGGATAATGAGAGTGTGCTATCAATGATGTATTAGGAAAGCCAGGAGAGTGTTGTCCTCGAAGCCGAGAGAGAACTGTTTCAAGAAGAATGGGGGGTCAGGTTTGTCATGTTGCAGAATGGAAGAAATGACCATTGAATATGTAGTGTAGTGGTCATTGGTGACCTTGACAAGTATATTTTCATTGGAATGGTGCAGATGGAAGCCTGACTGGAGTGGGTTGCTAAGAGAATGTGAGTGGAAAAAGTGGCAGCTGTCACCAGTTCTGTTAAAGAGTTTTGCTTTGACAGGGGAGCATAGAAGAGAGACCATAGCTGGAGAAGAATATGACTTGAAGGAGTTTTTTTTTTTTTTTTTTTTTTTTTAATTCTGGAAGATACTAGAGGATGTGGTATGTTAGTGGTCTGAGGAGGAATTGATTGTGCTGGAGCAAAGGGAAATAATTTTTTTTTCCCATACAAAAATGTATACATACGTTGTTATGTGACTCTCAATTGCTCTGCCTATGCTGTGACAGCACACTCCTCCTTTCCACCCCTGATTCCCCATGTCCATTCAGCCAGCTCCTAACCCTCTCTGCTTTCCCATCTCACCTCTGGACAGAAGCTGCCCGTTTAGTCTCTTGTATCTACATGAGCTAAGAGGCACACTCCTCACGAGTGTCACTTCATGTCCCACAGTCCAGTCCAATCCCTGTCTGAAGAGTTGGCCTCAGAAATTGTTTTAGTTCTGGGCTGATAGAGAATCCAGGGGCCATGCCTTCTGGGGTGCTACCAGTCTCAGACCATTAAGTCTGGTCTTCTTGTTAGAATTTGAGTGCTGCACCCCACCTCTTTTCTGCTTCATCCGGGACTCTCTGTTGTGTTCCCTGTCGGGGCAGTCATTGGTGGTAGCTGGGCACCATCTAGTTCTTCTGGTCTCAGGCTGATGAAGTCTCTGGTTTATGTGGCCCTTTCTGTCTTTTGGGCTACTACTTTTCTTGTGTCTTTGGTGTTCTTCATTCTCCTGAGAAGGGAAATAATTGAAAGTACAGAGTCTTTGAGAAGAACGGAGAGAATGGTATCCACAGCATTAGTAGAGGAATTGATCTTTAATAGGAGCAGAGACACTTAATATTCATAGTAGCAGGAGAGCAGAGAACATAGATTTAGATGCAGGTAGTTTGGGACATGGGAGGACACCACCATTTCTCTCTAAATTGTTTTCTTGAAATAATGAGTTAAGGTTATCTGAGAGTGAAGATGTGAGAGAAGAGAGTAAGAGTTTTAAAGAGAATGAAAAGTTGTATAATAGCCGTTTTGGAGTAGAATTATTGGGCAGTGTTAAATGTCCATTTGGGATTTGTGGTTTTGAATTTAACATGAGACCAATTAATGATGGTTTTGTGTTTTCCTCCAGCAATGCTTAGCTGCTTGGGGCAGACACAGAGAGGAAGTTTTTTTGATTTATTGGAAGAGTGAATTTAACTTACATTGGGGCTTTGCCATGTGAGTACCACAAAGGAAGAAAGTATTAAGGTTGACAAAAGTATTTTCAAGGGAGTGACTATAATGAATGCCATGGAATCTAAGCTGGATAAGGAGGAAAGTGAGGACATTAGGGTAATTCGTAATGATTGAGAAATGGTCAGATTTCAAAGAAGCCAGTCAACTGCTAGATTTGGAGTACAAAAGTGAATTTAAAATACAGCTGTTGGTCTCTACTTGTCAGGAGTAAAAGAGTAAGAAGGCAACCAAAATACCAGAGAAGAAACAAGTCTACAAGGCTGCTAGCCTGCATGAGCCACGACCTCATCTACCCTGAGACGAGAAGAACTAGATGATGTCTGGCTACCACCACTGACTGTTCTGACTAGAGTCACAATAGATGGTCCTGGATGGAATGGGAGAAAAATGTAGAATGAAACTTAAGTTCTTAAAAAAGAACTCTGGACCAGTTGAGACCAGAGGATGGCATGAGACACTCTTTAAATATTGAACCGAAACTATCTGCTGAGGTCACCTTTTAGTGAAGTAGCAGAATGGCACACAAAGTAAAGGATAATTACCCATATTACTAAAAAACCATCTGTATAAGACCAAAAGGTCAACATTTACTCTAAAGCAAATGTGAGAAGGGGGCAAGGAAACTAGAGTACTGAATAGAGAACAATCAGAACACAATTAAAGAGAATGTTGACACCTTAGGAAAAATGTAACTAATGTCACTGAACAGTTTGTGTGGAAATTGTCAAGTAAGAACCTAACTTACTGTGTAAACTTTTACCAAAAAATACAATAAAATATTATTTAAAAGAAAAAAAAAGTAAGTGAACATAATCCAAGGAGATCAGGAATCTGAAAAACTTGAATTTCAGAGAAGGTGCAGTGATTGGTGAGACAAAATCACAGGGGTAACAATGGGGATAAGAGCTTACAGCCTATTAATATTTATAGGGACAAGACAATTCTTGTCTCCTTTGCTATTCTGTGAGAATTTAGAAGACGTGCTGCAAGGATATCAAAAGTAAGCCACAATCTCATCAACCACAAGATAGCTACTATTGACATTAACATTCTTTTTTCTTTTTACCAAGTCAGAATCTTAATATGTGTACTATTTCGCTTTTTTCTTTCCTTTTGATATATTTTACGTTTTCTTCATGGCATTAAATAATTCTTTTTTTAAATGATTTTACTACTTGACTTTTTTAACCAGTCTTTTGTTAAACATTGAAGTTTCTGTTTTTTCCTACTATACTATATGATGCTCAGTGGAAATCTTTAATAATCTTTATCTGAGTTTATTTCCCTAAGATAGATTCCTAGGGAGGAGAAAAAAAAGTAACTGGGTCATAATACCTGAACTTTTAATATTCTCAATTACCCTAGTACTGGCAGTGTATGAGGCTGCCCATTTTATCATATTCTCACCTTTAAAACATAGAAGTTAAATACAGAAAATCAACTGTCCCATTTTTTATCTAACTTTTTTATTAAGAACATTTTTAAGTGGAAAAATTGAAAAAACAGTACACTTATACCTCACCACCTAGACTGGACAGTTACTAACATTTTACCATATTTTGCTGAATTATTTGAAGGTTGCTGTTACAATTCACTACCAAAAATTTCAGCATGCATCTCCTAATCTTCTTCTATACAGTTGTCTGTCAGTATACACAGGAGATTGGTTCCAGGACCCCCCAGCGGATACAGAAATCTTTGGATGCTCAAGTCCCTTGTGTAAAATGGAGTCGTATTTGCATATAACCGACAGACATCTTACCGTATACTTGAAGTCATCTCTAGATTACTTATAATACCTAATACAATGTAAATAGTTGTTTCATCACAACTGAAGACTTGCTCTGGAAGGTAGCCTTTCTCTTCTATGAGTTTCTTGAGCTCTTCTGGGAATGCTGATGGTGCCTTGGCATAAGCCAGTGCTGATTCTCCATAATCTTTCAGTTCTTGAGTCTGTAGCGCTTTCCATAGCTAGCCAGCCATCCCTTACTAGCCTTAAACTCCTTCCTCTTGCTCTCCTCAACCCCCTCCCACTTAGTCCTTGAGGAATTGCTTTGACCACTTAATTGCTTTTTAGGGGCCATTTTTTCACAGAAACAAAGCGTGCACACAGGTAGCAAACGAATGAGACGCAAGGTGAACAGTGCTCACATGAGTGCTGGAGAGAGACTGCGGATCTGTGAAATGGTGAGAGGCTACAGCAGGGCATGCCTACACATCACTTCATTAGCATGGATTCGTTGTAGTGCTTGGTGCTCGGTGTATGGCAAATTCAAGTTTTGCTGTTTTGAAACTTTTTTTTTTCTGAATATTTTTGATCTGTGGTTGGTTGAATCCGTGGTTCTGGAACCCATGGATATGGAGGGCCAACAGTATAACCACAGTATCGTTATCCTACTTAAGAAAAATAATTCCTTGATACCATCTAATATTCAAGTGCATGTTCATATTTCCCCAGTTAACTAAAAAATGTCTTTTGTAGCTGTTTTTTTAAAACCAGAATCCATTCAGAGTTCACATATTTCATTTAGATATTTTTTTCTGGTCTTTTAAAATGTATGATAGTTTTCCACACACACCTTCCTTCTCTCATTGATGCTTGAAAATCCTGGGGATTTGACTTACTACTTTTTCATTTTCCCACTGTTATGCTTTAACTCGTATTACCTGTAAACTGGGAGTTTAGGTGTAAAGGTTTGATTAGCTTCAGGTTAAACATTATTTGCAAGAAGACTCCAAGGGTAATGTTTACTTCATATTAAATCATATTGTTGTTGGTGTGTGCCATCGAGTCAATTTTGACTCGTAGCAACCCTATAAGACAGTAGAACTGCCCCTTAGGGTTTCCTGTGGGTTATCTTTACAGAAGCAGATCACCAGGTCTTCTCGCTCGGAGCCACAGTGGGTTCGACCCTCCAACCTCTCAGTTTGTAGCTGAGTGTTTAACCACTGTGCAACCAGGGCTTCTTAAACCAGAAAAGCAAACCTGTTCCCACTGAGTTGCTGTCGGGTTTCCAAGGAGCAACTGGTGAATTGAACCTGCAGGACCTTTTGGTTCGCAGCCAAGCTTTTAACCACTGTGCCATCAGGGCTCCTTAAAAAACAAACAAAAACCAAACCCATTGCTGTCGGGTTGATTCCGACTCATGGCTCTTTAGTAGGTATATAATATAGAGTAGATATGTAATATCAGATTGTCTCATTGGTTAGTGGTGATGGTTTAGGTGGTAACTACCCAATCTCTTTGTAAAGTTTTTTTTTTCCCCCTTTGCAATTTGTGCTTCTGGATGGGTTCAAACTGGCAAAGATCTTCTTTTGTGGGACTTAGAATAGTAGGGAAAGATAAGCCATTTATTTTAAATTATGAGAAAATAATGGCAACTGTTAAGTCTTTTAAGTCTCATTTTCAACAAATTAGAAAAAATTGAACTTCACATTTATTTGCATGGTAATGATCAGTGCCTGTAAATTTTGGTAGCTGTAATTTGACTAGGAAATGAAAATTCATTTATGATAATTATTTATGATAATTCTCATATGATTCTTTATATCGAATGAGAATTATCTATAACTTTAGAGAAATTGAGAATTGTCTTATCTGAAATTTGTATTTAAATTTTACTTTAGAAAGCAGATTTTCCAGAATAAATAGAAGTGAGACTAGTGTCATAAACTACACTATAAAAAAAATTATACAATATTCATTTGGGGTGGGAATTTTCTCCTGTAACACCTTTATCAAAACTCAACATATTACAATGTTAAATTCAACACGTGTCAGCCATTGTTCTATACACTGTATTAATTCATTAAATTCACCTATGAACCCTATGAGGTAGGTGCCATTATAATCCTCAGTTGACAGAGGATGAAACTGAGGCATGAAGAGGTTAATTAACTTGCTCAAGGTCACATAGCTAGTAAGTTTTAAACAGATTAAACAACAATATACCTCATAGGTAGTGCTTGTATAATAAAATCATTCCATTTTAGTTTTTCCTACTAGAATATAAGCTCCAAATGGGCAGGGACTTAGTTTTATTCACTAACACTTGAGATCACTTTCTGGCATATAGTAGACCTCAGTAAATATTTGAAAGAATGTTTTTTGTTTGTTTTTTTAATTATTGCTGTATCAGTTCACTGAGATACTTGGCCCTGGAAATCTACTAGAACTACTTTACATTTTGCACTGTTGCTTGTTAGCAGTAATGTTCATTTATTTACCACATCTAAATTAGCTTCAAAATTGTGTGGTACTTTGCATATTTTATGTCAGTTATATCTTAATAAAATAGTTTAAAATTGTTTCCTAGTTTTATTCATCTCTTTCCCTTTTATGTGTTAGAAATGGGTTAGAGCTCCAAGGGAACACAAGTAAAACCAACACTGGTACCAGAGTTCCCTCTGCATGTTTAGCTGAGTTGAAAGAATAAAGTATAGAAAAACAGCTTTTGCAGCTGTTCTCACAAAAGATGCACACACACATTCTTCAAGGTTTCATCCAAAGCTTTAGCCTCCTTGATTGTTGTGATCATCGAAATGCATGATACATTGATTTATTTGTTTATTGTTAGAAATTACCGTTTCATCCTCAGACTGGAAATAATTGTGAAATAAATTTTATAAAGGACTTTGAAATCAGAGGTTTTGTAGTTCCTATTGGTTAGAGGAAGGATAACTGTGCTTTTTACTTCTGTCCAGGAGACTCGTTTAATTCTGAGATAAGTAATCTCATTTTGTAGTAAAAAATTGAGAGGTAGTTGTTAGTGATTTGCTGAATTTATACCACAAGTAAATGGCAGAACTGGGATTCAGTTCATGTCTGTCTCACTCCAAAAGCCATGCCTTTTCAGATGCAGTCAACTTTCGCCATTTTCCGAGTCTTCCCCGTAGTACATTCCTTTGCCTTAACAATTTTAAGTTTGTGGGGACAGTTGAGCTTGGCCGTTTGGATTATGAAATAACTGGATGTTTGAATTAAACTGAAGTATTTAAAGGATAATTGTTTCTTGATGAAAAAATTAATGAGCTGTGAAATATTTTTGCCTTTAGCTTCCCAATTTCTTTTATCTTCAGTTATCTGTACTAAAAACCCCATTCTAGGCCATGTAGAATGCTTCCATATAACAGGATTCCTCATGATATTTTCTTGAGCTGAGTTAGTAAATTTTTCATACACTAATAGTGTTTTCTCTAGAGTGAAAAAACTACCCATTTTGGGGGGGGTGATGTGGACAAAATAATGACAGAGGTATAAAAATTAATAATTGTTTATTTAGCATTTTACTAACCAGATACTTGGGACGGTGCTAGAGAGCAGCCTTTTAATCTCTGTTACCTCCTCCTTCCCTCCCCCAAACTTTAGTCAAACCAGGTCCTTTAGTATCCTACCATTTTAGAGTTAATTTTGGGGCAGGTAGGAGGGTATATAGGAAGCTATAGAGAACTTTAAAAGCACTGATGATTTATAAAATCTGGTTACTCTTGTTTTACTTAGAGATCTTAGGGGAGAAATGTGGCTTCTTAATAGGTCAGTGAAAGTCTGATGTTTGTTCGCAGTTTTTTTTTTTAATATTATTTATCCTTACACATACTGGACAAAGTATTTTTACCATTGCTAAAATTATACTTTTTGTCTTCTACCACAGAGTACCAAGGATGATGATGATTTTTTTTAGGCCATAGGGAGAAAAAGTTTCTTATAAATGTATGTTTATAATTAAATTACATTTTTTGGGCAAAAATATTTTCAGAAAAACGTGTAATACTAATCCCAAATGTAAAAAGGTTTGTGAAATACAGCAGGACTAATTAGAATGTTTTTAAAATATGTGAAAGTAAGTTTTTAATCCTATGTTCTTACTACAAAACAAATTTAGATTAATTAGGAGTCATATGAAATCTTTAAAATTTGGGGTTTGAAAGTTATATATTGTTTCTGTACCGCACAGTCGGTACTAAAACTTCAGTATAAAAAAGAGTAAAACTAGTATCCGCTGTAGTGGGAGGGGTGAAGATGAGGAGCCAAGAACCTTAAAACAGCAATTCTTACACTGTTCCGTCCAGTAAGTTAAAGAAGGTGGATTCAAAAGCAAATATTAACTCTTGAAAATCTTATGCAAGCCTTTTTTTTTTATATAAGAAATGTGAATATGTTGTGTCAGTTAGGTAAAATATGGACTCTGACATACAAAAGTGAAAACATAATTTGTGTTTTAGAGATTTATGTTAAAAATTTCAGAGAAGTGGAGGATTGACTGTATTAGGAATACAGACCAGTAAGGTACTGTAGTATAGATTTAAAAATGTAAGTGGAGAGCTCATTTGCAGGCAGATATTTGTGAATGTTTATGTGAATCCTATAAGAAGGTCTTCTGAATTATTTAAGGCCACTGATGACTGAAAGTAGACTGATTTTTGAGACTCAAGTGATGTTACAGATGTCAAAGTACTTTCAGAAGTGTAAATTGCAAAATGAGTAGATGTAGATAAATTTAAAGAGAATCTTTTTGAAAAATCAAGTTACCCTTTTCTTTGAAGCAAACTAAGCAGAAAAGACAAATTGAAGAAGTCATTAGAAGATTCTGGTGAGGCATTTAAGCTTTGAGAATTTTCATGGGAAGAAAAATTAATTAGATGGCCTAGAGCTTTCAACATCCTAGTGGATGGTGTAGTATTTCAGTCAATTTTGCATAATTCAAGTGAGAATTTATAGCCTAAATGACTTTTAAGGACTCTGGATTTTCTTTTTATCTGGACAGAACCCATATAGCCTAGAGGAATAGGAATAATATAGCAGTGTTCATCTACAGATGAATGGATTTATCACTTTGGATCTAACATACATGGAGTTTGCAGACATAAAATAGTTGTCTACTGTTTTTCTGTAATGACATTCCTATAAAGTCAACAAGCCATTATACTGTTGGTTGAAGTGGTGTTATTTCATTAAAAGCAATGAAGTAAAATTTTGTTATTTTGTCTTAGATATTCTTGAAACTGGTTAATTAAGTCCTTGATAAACAGACTCATTTTTACTAGAGCAGACAATCAAGTTTTTGAAAAAGGGGGTTTCAAAAATTTTTATAGATAATACTTTAAAATAGGCTTTATTCTTGCTGACATAACTAACATTTATTTTCTGTTTATTTTTAAGACGAGCAAAAATCAAATTAAAGTAGATCTTGTAGATGAGAATTTTACAGAATTAAGAGGAGAAATAGCAGGACCTCCAGACACACCATATGAAGGCAAGTACTTTTTGTGTATCAAAATATTGTGCATATTAGAACTTGTCTGAAACATTTAAATCAGAATAATCTTTAGCAGCTGTAAACTACATAGATGCTAACTTTATTTGGCTTAGGATATGCAGCAATTTTTAAATAAACTTAGATATTTTTCTAGACCAATTTTCTTACTAAATTTTAACTAATTTTTTCCTTTCCCCAAAATAGATTTAGCAGAGCTAAGTTATAGGTTATACAGGTTAGAACTTAACAGTGTAAAACGTGGTATGTTAAGCCTTTAACTTTTAAAGAGACTATAGACTCTCAGTTGTCTGCCCTGTGGTATTTATAACAAGCCTTGCCTTAAATTTTTGACTGATAAAATGTTTTGTTTTTAAAGCTCCTTTTGCCAATTTCTTATTTAGTATTTCATTCATTCGTATGTTTTTATATACAGGCTGTAGACCAAATATTTAATTTTCTTTATTTAGAGGAACTTTGAGTCATTGTTTAACAAAGACACGTAGAAAAGAAAGGCAGCTTTGCTGAACTTTGTGTTCACAACCTAAGTCTGTAGCTACTTTAGACCATGGAATTGGGTGGTAAAATACAGAAAGAAGCTTTATAGTTTTTTAATTCCTCATTAGTCAGATCTTTAGTAATGAGTAAATGTGAGTTTTATAGCATAATCAGGTTCTTGCATATAATAGGCATTCAAATATTTGCTTAATAGAAACAGAATAACAGAATTTGTAGTAATATTGTTTACTGAGCTTTTATAGGAGCCTTACATATATTTTCTCATTCAGTCCTTGTAACAAATTTTATGAGGTATAAGTACAGTTATTATTGTTTCAGATGAAGAACCCTAAGCTCAAAGAAGTTAAGTAACTTATCTAAAGTCAAACATCTAATAAGTGGCAGAGCTGAGATTTGAGTCATTGCTTTTGACTTCAAAGCCTATGCTTTTAATCACTCTGCTTTTGAGTAAATCAGAATTGACTGAATATTGGAAGTGGTGATTATGTCTACTTTGAATGTGGTGGTTCTACAATTCTGTAATGAGCAGTTACCAAAAAACTTTCAGAAAAGTCTAGTATTCTAGAATATTGTTTCCATTAAATTTTTTAAACCCTTAGGATGTCTCTGGCAAATGCTACCAGTTCTTAAATGATAAAATTTTATTTTCTGTTTCATAGTTCATGATATGAGCCATTGCTAGACATCACCATTTAGTTTTTCATATTGTTTCTTGAGGGCCTAATATATACCAGGCCTAGTGTGGATGTTTTCATGGATGCTATTTTGTTTAGTCTTTTTTACACTCATTAAATGGAGAAGAGACCTTCCAAAAACAAACCAAACCTATTGCTGTTGAGTCAATTCCAACTCATAGCAACCCTCAGTTACCTTATAAAAGTCAAGTACTTGTCTTAATAGCAGATATTCTGTGTAGCTGTAATGATATACTAGCTTCTTGAAGGTAAGCATTATAAATATTCTTGAATTACTTTTTTAGGTTGTTTAGACATATTGCTAAAAAACAGAATAGGGCAATAACAGTATCATTCTAGAGCTCTTCCAACAAATCAGTTTTTATAAATAAGGCACATATTATCTTCTTAGTAACCCGTAGTAAGTAGATGATTTTCTAAAATTTGGATAATGCACGTCTATTTGTAAGATAGATTACAAATACACCATATTCTTTATTGATTAGAAACAGATTTGATCATTTTTAAGTGCTTATTTCTCCTGCTGCTGCTAAAATGACGCTAATATTTCAATAAGTTTTGTTTTAATATGCTTTTATTATGTTTGAGATACGTTTGTCTTTAAGATAGATTAACTTAAATTCTATTCTTTTTTCTCATAAAACTGTTGAAGCTTTTCATTTTGTTAGGAAAAGCACCGTTCAAGGACATAAACTTAGGTGCTCTTTCAAATTTGTACATGGATAAAATATTTTGATAATATTTATTGCAAGCTTTTGCTGTTTTTTTGAGGTTTTATTTTTTTTGCAAATCCAAACCTTGAAAGCTAAGGCAGAAATCATCATTAAGTAAAGAGGCAGCTATTTTATGTAGCATTTAAAGTAATCAGATGAAAAGTAGAATAGCCAGGGAAAAATTGCCTTATTGTACATGTTGCTTAGCTCAATTTTCTTAACTTCTTTTGTTTTAATAGCTTATTGGCAATGTAAGAGTTTTATTTTTAGTGCTTGAGCCTTTTTTCCCAAGAGTTCTTCTAAATTTGTGGAAACTTTGTTGATGTGTATTTTTATAAATCTCACTCATTACCCCTTTGCATTGAGTTAAACTTAAAAATTATAAAGTTTTAATTTTAAAAGCTATTTTTCAATAAGTAAATGTTTTATGGTGAAAGTAACATGTTTTGTAGTGAAAGCTGTTATAACATGAATAAAGTAACTTATCATAAGATTTCCTTAGTTGTGTTGCCCTCATATATATCAAATAATACTATGGTTAATGCTATAATAGTCCTGTATTAAAAGTTGTTGAGTAATAATGCAAGATAGAGTATATTAATAGCATATGGAGTAGAAGTAGGATTTTGGGGACTTTAGAGTCCAGCATTGTTTATGTAACTCCTCTGGAGCTCTCACACTGCTTTTAAGAGGTTGTTTTTGGACATTCAGCAAAGAGGAACTTTGTATGAAAGGTTAAAGAGAAAATAATCTGGAATTTAATCAGAAAAAATGAAATTCTTAGCAAGGAAAAAGAAGAGCCTATGTATTACTCAGGCCAGCATGATATTTGAGGCTAGCGGTATTAAATCTGAACACAAATAGCTATCTCTGTATTTACAAATTTCCTCAGGGCCCTTCTCTTACCTGTCTTTTTTTGTTATTGTTTCTTTTGTTTCGACAACTTTTCTTTATATTTCACTGCTACTATATGCTCTATGATTCAGGCATCCAGTTCAGCTCATGCATCAGCATTATGGGATTTTATTAAAAGAATTAAAAGAAGAAATGGAACACAAAAGGGCTTTGAAGAAAGTGGTACCAAGTAAAATACTTTTTTATATTTTTCCCTCAGATCTGTACTCATCCATTCGTAACAGTGGAGGAGAGAGATTTGAGAGAATCCAGGATACAGTTAGGAAGTCCAGTTCCCTTCTTTTGACTTTTTCAAGAACTAAATGTGTGGAATTTTGAAGTCAATAATGCCTGTTGTGCAGATTTTATTTTACTTTTTATTACAGAAATTTCAGATACAGACAAAAGAAGAATACTACAGGGAACCTCCATGTATTCATCACCCAGCTTTAATAACTGTCAACTTATGGTCAGCTTTTTTTTTTTTAAATTTAATCCATCCTTTGATTATTTTGAAGCAAATCTGAGACATAATTTCATCTGCCAATATTTTTGTAGTACTGTTTTATTTGGTGTGTTTTGTAATTGTAAGTATTCTATGTTAATGGTCATAAATTCTTAAATTGGAAGGTTTCTTACAGTTAGAGTTCAAATCCAGCCTCTCATCCAGTGCAAGACATCCCGCTTGAGACTTTCCTGAGAGCTGGTTATCATCTGCTTGAATAACCAAGTTATAGGAAACTAGATAAACTTTTTATATACTTATTTAACTGCTAGTTGTTCAAGGTAACTTCAAACCAAAACAGAATATTACCTTCCATTTATAGATTGCTAGTTAAAACTTCTTTGTAAAGCTTTATGTTTTCTTAAAGGAAGAAACAATATTTTGTCTTTATGCTGACCACTTGTCTTGTTTCTGGATATTGCTTTCAAAATTTTAACATGAAGTGTTGGCGTTTTATTTAGGGTACAAGTTAAAAGATAGGGACATTTTTGCATTTGAGAGACTGTTAGAATTAGATTTTTCAGTTTATGGGATAATCCATATTCTTTGCCTTTGTACCATCTATGCCTTTGTACCTCCTTGCCTTCTTTCTATTTTTTTTCTTTCCCATTTTCCTGTTATTCAAAACTCTTAACAGTGTGGACTAGACAAAGCAAAAGGAAATGGTTTTAACTAGTACATATAGTACTAATTAATTGTACTGATAAAATCTTTGGCATTGGATTGTCTGTAGGTTTGATGTATTTGATATATATCTGTATGAAATGGGTATTCTGTATGCTTTGAATAACCTTTAAATTAAAAACTTGTACTTTTGTTTATTTTCTTTTTGCGTTTCAACTCTATAACAAATTTACTGTAATTGAGTATAAAATAATACATGGTTTCAAAAGTTCTGTCAGTATTTTGGCATCATATATTTGAGGCAAAGAGCATTGTTAACTTTCTGTTTTCCCCCATTTTTTAGGAGGAAGATACCAACTAGAGATAAAAATACCAGAAACATATCCATTTAATCCCCCTAAGGTATCGTAAGTCTATTTTTATGCATGAGCTTTTAAAATATATTTTAATATACATACTTAGTGCTTATTAAAATTATAAATTTATGAGTCGTTTGTTGTGTGTAAATTTAGTGTGGACAAGGTATTTCAGGTACTAGCAGAAGCTTTGCTTCTGGATTTAAAATTAAAAGCAGGTTTACTCAAAGGCAGCCAGTAATGGCTTTAGACAGGAATAGGATGTACGTCTTACAGCGGCTTAAATTTTAGGTCTGAAAAAACTGTGGTGTTCCGAAACTTAGGGGAGCTTTAGACAAGTAGGGAAAGGTTCTTACTTGCCTCAAAGATGTATGCTTTCTAGGGAAGTGTGAATTCCTTAATCATTTAACAATTATTTGAGTACTATGTGCCAGAATATAGCAATAAAGAAGACTGATACTGTCCCGTCTTTTATGGAACTCAGATTCTAGCAAGGAAAAAAAAAAATTGAACAATTACAACAGCAGTGAATGTTATAAGAGGGAGTGAATGCTCTAGGATCATGTATATCAGGGGGACCAAACCTAAACTTCTGTTCTGACTGAACACCTTCCTTTGTATCTCTTCTTCTGCTACTATCACCACTTTAGCTCAGACATTCAACTTTATTACTTCATTTGCCTGATTTCGTCTGCCTTCTGTCTTTGCTACTCTTACTTACTCTTTACACTGCTGTTCTACAGATCTTCCTGAAGTGCAGTTTTGATCATGCTTCTCTTCTTTCCCTGTTAATAAAGTCGAAACTCCATAGCTTGGCATTTAAAACTCCTACAACCTGGTTCCAGTCTTCATCACCCTAACTTTTACTACCCGGCCCCCCCGCAACATAGGTCCCAATTTCCAGCCTAGATTATTTGCTATTTATAGATGATACTTATTCTTCCACACTTTTCTATCATTTTCACTTGAGTTTTTGTCCCTTCTCCCATCCATATCATTTAAAATTTTAATCTTCTTTTGAAGTCTAGGTAAAATAACACTTTCTCCATTAACCTGTGCCTTTCAAATTACCTCACTCTACTCTCTCAGCATTGTTTATACAATTCATATAGTACCAATACAAATACATTACCAATACATGTATTATTTTGGGAATGTATCTTTCATTAGCTTTTATGCTTCTGAGGTCAGGGAACGTGTCTTACATACACCTTTGTGTGCTTTATAGTTTCTAACAGTGACGCGTGAACATATGATAGCAGTCACTCAGAAAGTCTTCTGTAATTGATTCATTCAACTTATTGGTTATTCATATATGAGAACAGACATGATAATGGAAGTTCCAAAATGAATTTGGATCGCCTACCCGTTTGGATGCTTGTTAGTCTGTTGCTTATGTGCATCTGTTTTCTGATAAGCTTGGTTGATTTTTTTTTTTTCTATTATAAAAGTACTTCGTGTTTGTAGAAACTTGAGGAAATTATATAGTAAAGTATAAAGAAGAAAAAACTCAGTTACTAGCGCCCAGAGATGACCACTATTAAGCTCTGATTTTATATCTGTGGCTTTATTTTCTAGATAATTCTCATCCTCTGGAGTCTTATCTAGGTTGGCAGTGTTATCCTTAGAATGAGTAGGTAGCCTTGAGGGTACTTTATTTGTAGAGTTCCATGAATTTAAGTAAAGGAGATTTAAAAATCATTTAGAGATAAGGATGACCTTGTGGCCTAAAATTCTTTTTAAAAAATGGAAGTGAGGAAGGAAGAAAGAAAAGAAAGAGCTCAAGAGAGACTGCTTTCAACCACAAAATTATTACTGTGAAATAATGATAGTAGCTACTGTCAGTTGTTTTGTCATAGAATTTTATATGCTTTTCCTGAAACAGTCTTTATAATATCTTTAATAAATGAGGGAACTGAGAGTTAGAGGTTAAATAAAACCCAGATTCCGTAAGGCTCGGGTAACCAGTGTGTTAAACCACTGTGCTCTACTTCCTCGATCATGATAAGGAAGGAAAAAGGGCAAAATATCTGAAACAGTGAATATGACTTTACCAAGAGTGATCAATGATCAACCATGGTTCAAATATTACTTTTGCCACTTAACTGGCTTTGGGATCTTAGACAAATTATGTAACCTCTCTGTACCTCAGTTTCCTCATGTGTAAAATCAGCTCATAAGATTGTGAAGATTGAAGGAGTTAATCCATGTTAAACACAGTATTTCAAGAATTCTGTGAAACATTCTTTTACATTTTTAACATCTCTGAAATGAGGTTGCATCTTAAAATGGATAACATGTCATAATTTGATTGGTGGAAGTTTTTTTTCTTTCTCTAGGGTACATAAAATAACGATCTCTTGAATAGTTGATGATGTCTGAGATTCAATGAGATATAATAGTTAAAACAGTACCTGGCACAGAGTTAGCACTGGGTAAATATTAGCCAATATTAACCAATGACTACAACTTTAAGAAGCCCTTCCTGAAGTGGTCTGTTGGCATCCCTTTGTGACATCATTTTAAAATATAATCGCATTGACACTTGAATTTGTTCTGTAAATGGAAACTCTTATACACTGCTGATTGGAATGTAAAATGATGCAGTTACAATGGAAAACAATGGTCAAAATGGCAAACATAGAGTTACCTTATGAACCAGAATTTCCACTTCCAGTTATCTACGCAGAAGAAATGAAAACATATGCCTGGACAGAAATTTGTACATGAATGTTCATGCCAGCACTATTTGTAATAGCCAAAAATGGAAACACTCCAGATGTCCATCAAATGATGAATAAATAAAATGTAGTAAATTCACCTTGAAAACATCATGCTAAATGAAAGAAGCCAGGCGCAAAAGGCCACATATTGTATGATTCCATTTATATGACACATCAAAAAAGACAAATCCATAAAGACAGAAAATAGATTGGTGGTTGCCTTAGGACTGGGAGTAGAGGGTGGTGTGTAATAGAGAGTGACTGCTGATGGGTATGGGGTTTCTTTTTGTGGTGATGAAATGATCTAAAATTAAATTGTCATGATTAAATTGCAGAACTCTGGATATACTAAAAACCATGAAGTTGTACTCTTTAAATGGGTGAATTTTATCTCAATAAAGCTGTTAATTCTTTTCCTCTGTAGTCTATAATAGTTCCAGAGTGATTGGATAGTCCCGGGCTCTGTTTTAGGCACTTTGACATATTTCATTTAGTTCTTGAAATAGCTTCTGCTTTTTTTTAAAACTTATTCAAGATGCATTTATTAAGGTATTACGTACTTGGACATCAGAATTCACTTAGCAAAACTTAAAATCTATATCTTTTTGTTGTTGTTGAGAATATACACAGCCAAACATACTCCAATTCAACAGTTTTTACATGTACAATTCAGTGACATTGATTACATTCTTCTAGTTGTGTGACCATTCTCACCCTCTTCTGAGTTGTTCCTCCCTCATTAACATAAACACACTGCCCCCTAAAGTTCTTGTCTCATCTTTCGAGTTGCTGTTGTCAATTTGATCCTGTATAGATAGTTCTTAAAAGAGCATAATGCTCAAAGTGGATGTTTTTTTACTAGTTAAGCTAAACTATTATTTGGTTTTGAAAAGAGTTCAGGGGATATATTTGGTTTAAGGTTTAAAGATTATATCAAGGTAGTACTTTCAGGGATTCGTCAAGCTGTCATGTCTCCAGAAAGTCTGGAGTCCATGAGAGTATGGGATTCTGTTCTACATTTTCCTCCTTTTGATCAGGATTCCTCTATAGACTCCTTGATCAGAATGTTTATAGGAGCCAGGCACCATCCATTTCACTGGTCTGATGGTAAAATACCTTTTATTAACCTCCCTTTCCTCTATTTTTTCTTTTTATAAAATGAGAAAACCAGACTCTAAGCAAAAGAGCTGAAAAGTCAAACTTTGAACTGATATCTGTCTTGATTTCAAACACGTTTTTGCTACTATCTCATGCGTTGAGATTTTTTAAGTGTTTCAAGTCAGCCCAAATTTGTCTCCCTTTGGCTTCAACCAGCTACTTGTAGTTGGGATTTGTTATTTTAAATATGGTATGCATCCCGCTTATACCTCACAGGGAGGGTGTGGTTGGCAAACAAACATAGAAGGTGTGCATTATTTGCATAAAATGCGATTTATTGGTTTTATGGATTGAGTTGTGTCCCCCAAAAATGTGTGTCAACTTGACTAGGCTGTGATTTCCAGTATTGTGTGATTGTCCACCATTTTGTCATCTGATGTAATTTTCCTATGTGCCTCTATGATGTTAATGAGGCAGGATTAGAGGCAGTTATGTTAATGAGGCAGGAACTTAATCTACAAGATTAGGTTGTATCTGGAGTCAGTCTTTTTTGAGATATAAAAGAAAAAAGTGAGCAGAAAGACAAGGGGATCTCATTACGAAGCAAGGAGAGCCAGGAGCGCGTGCATCCTTTGGACCCAGGGTCCCTGTGCTGAGAAGCTCCTAGACCAAGGGAAGCCTGATGACAACCTTCCAACAGATAGAGAAAGCCTTCCTTTGGAGCTGGCTCTTTGAATTCGGACTTCTAGCTTCCTAAACTGTGAGAGAATAAACTTCTCTTTGTTAAAGCCATCCCTCCACTCATGGTATTTCTCTTATAGCCGCACAAGATAACTAAGACAATTGGTTTGCGTTTACTGATTGGTAAATATAAAATAAAATGGAAAGAATAGTGAATGTTTATGTAATTTTCCGTACTATGTGTTCACATATGATTAATATAAATTCACGTTTAATTTTGCACTTAAGAAGTTGAAATATTGAAGTTAGCTAGTTATTTCTCTGAGCAGTTAAAATTTGAGAGAAGAGTCAATGTATACAACCAATGTTAGTGTAAACTGTAATATATATTCCATTGGTGGAAAAAACATTAAATTAGTTAAAACCTCTAGCCCAATGATTTGTCCAGTTATATACTGAAAATTCAATTGTGCAAATTCCTTTTCTTCCTTGATGTTATAAACATACCTTCATATGTGGAATTGAGTATAAACACCAGTTTTAA